ACACACACACACACACACACACACACACACACACACACACACACACACTCCCTTTCTCTCGCCGAAGTTGCGCGGGCGGGGAGCCCGCCCGCGCAACTTTGGCGAGAGAAAGGGAGTGAGTGTGTGTGTGTGTGTGTGTGYGTGTGTGATTGGGTGGGGGTTGGGGGGGCGACCCATCCCCTACCAATCAATCAATCAATCAATCAAAAAAAAAAAAGTAAAAGAAAAAAAAACAAGAAAAGCGGGTTTTCCCGTGTTTTTTTTTCTACTTTTTTTTTTCTCTTTTGATTGATTGATTGATTGGTAGGGGATGGGTCGCCCCCCCAATCCCCCCCCAATCCCTACCCAATCACACACACACACACACACACACACACACACACACACACACACACACACACGGGCAACTGCCCGTTTTTTTTTTGCTAGCAAAATTTTTTTTTTCCCTTTTTTGTCTCGTTTTTTTTTTTTTTTTTTTGATTTTTTGTAAATCCTTTTTGAGGTCGCAAAAAAAATACGGGGTTGTAGATCTCGAAAAGATCTACTACCCCATATCTATATATATGTATTTTTTTATTTTGTTTTGCCCCTGGAACACCTTCGTACGACCGTCGTCCGTATGCCCGTACGGGCCGTACGGAGACCCCCCGTACGACGTACGGGGGACGACACAGGCGACCATCTCATGCAACACGGAAGGGACCCTGCTCTTGATTTCCGGGTACTAGACTCCGCGGATTCAAAACAAAATTTGCGCAGAGTTCGAACACGATGTCGGTTGAGGAACTCTAGCAACGGCACACAACGGGCTCCTAGAACCCCAGACTGAGCAGGCAAACGACCGTGGCAACGCTACCGTTGTGTCCAGCACGAAAGGGACTTCATTTCATATTATCACAATCATCCAATTTACAATCAGTGTAATAAAAGATAAAAGACAGTCATCCGGGTACTATGTTCTGCGGGTGTAACTCGCATTGGACTGTTTGCGACGCATGCAAGTCGGAGCACTTCTTTCGAACGGGAGTGACTGTGGCCGATCGCCCACGAGCAGGAGTGTGTCCCAAAATGGTGGTCCGACCCGACCCGTGCGGACGGAACGACGCCGACACGGAAGACAAGGGTTTTCCAGCACGCAAACAGCATTGGCGGAAGCGGCACTTACCTGAAGAGCGGCAGAGTTGTCGTGTTAGCGCTGGCAGAATGCTGCGCTGATTCTCCTAGTACACGAACAATGGAGCGCTGACAAAAGGTCGCGGCTACTCGTGTGTGCGAAACGCTCTTGTGTGGCAGAGGGATGTACTCTGGCGCGAAACGTCATCCCCGCGCCTGCGCTTTGCCCTTGGCCCGTTCCCGGGGGGGGGAAACGATTCTGGTCGTCGGCCGGCCGTTGGTTCGACGACCAAGATTTACCGGGGGGAAAATAGGGCGGTGCACTGGCCGCACCACTGGATCCCCGCCTGCAGCCAACCGATCATCCCGACCGTCCGCATTCCCGGATCCGACAGCCACCACGCGCGTCCGGAGGGCCCACCCGAAAACCTATATGTATAGAGGGGGTCCACCACTCCCATTTTCGGTTTCAGGTGGGCAACGCAGCAATAGCGCAGCGCAGCAGAGGTTCGTTGACGCAGCAACAGCGCAGCACAGCTGAGGCTCGTGCACAGCAGACTATGTGCACGGCGCGGCGACGGAGCGCAGCGGGGATTCGTTGACGCAGCGGAGGTCCGTGCATAGCAGACCACCTGCGCGGCGCGACGATGGACCACAACGAAGGTGCCGACGGTCGCAGGTCGCGACGACGGAGGCGAGCAGACGACTCCAGGACGTGACGCGCAGCCACAGCGGAGCACCCCAAGTCCACAGGATCAGACGCTGAGGACACAACCAGCAAGCCCAGATGCAACCACGTAACGCCACGTGGCACTTTCGGTTGATAGGGGTCGTGCCGAACACGACGACCGGAGGAGCACTGTCGAGTCGAACACGACAACGGACCGGAGCAGGAGTCGTCTCGGACACAGCGATCGGGTCCGTCGTCGAATCGAACTCGACGACCGAGCGAATTGTCGTGCCGAACACGATCGTCGAACACGATCGTCGAGTCGAACACGATTGTCGAGTCGAGCCCGATCGTTGAGTCCGACACGATCGTTGAGTCCGACACAATCGTCGAGTCGGACACGATTGTCGAGTCCGACACGATCGTCGAGTCCAACACGATCGTCGAGTCCAACACGATCGTGCCCTGTCGTTAAGTCGAACACGATCGTCGAGTCCGACACAATCGTCGAGTCCGACACGATCGTAGAGTCGAACACGGTCGTGCCCTGTCGTTGAGTCCGACACGATCGTCGAGTCCGACACGATTGTCGAGTCCGACACGATCGTCGAGTCCAACACGATCGTCGAATCAGATACGATCGTCGAGTCGGATACAATCGTCGAGTCCGACACGATCGTCGAGTTCGACACGATCGTCGAGTCCGACACGATCGTCGAGTCCGACACGATCATCGAGTCCGACACGATCGTCGAGTCGAACACGATCGGCGGGTCGAACCTGATCGTCGACTCCGACACGATCGTCGAGTCCGAAACGATCGTCGAGTCCGACACGATTGTCGAGTCCAACACGATCGTAGAGTCCAACACGATCGTCGAGTCCAACACGATCATGCCCTGTCGTCGCGTCGAACACGATCGTCGAGTCCGACACGATCGTCGAGTCCGATACGATCGTTGAGTCGTGCCCTGTCGTCGAGTCATGCATGATCGTTGAATCGGACACGATCGTCGAGTCGGACACGATCGTCGAGTGGAACACGATCGTCGAGTCGAGCACGATTGTCGAGTCCGACACGATCATCGAGTCGTGCCCTGTCGTCGAGGCTGACACAATTGTCGAGTCCGACACGATTGTCGAGTCCGACACGATTGTCGAGTCCGACACGATCGTCGAGTCGTGCCCTGTCGTCGAGTCCGACACGATCGTCGAGTCGAACACGATCGTCGAGTCGAGCACGATTGTCGAGTCTGACACGATCGTCGAGTCGAACACGTTCGTCAAGTCAAGCACGATTGTCGAGTCGGACACGATTATCGAGTCAAGCACGATTGTCGAGTCGGACACGATCGTCGAGTCGAATACGATCGTCAAGCTGAGACCGATTGTCGAGTCCGACACGATCGTCAAGTCGAACACAATCGTCGAGTCGAGCACGATTGTCGAGTCCGACACGATCGTCGAGTACGACACAATCGTCGATTCCAACACGATCATCGAGTCCAAGACGATGCGACGACCGTCGAGTCGAACGCGATCATCGAGTTAGACACAATCGTTGAGTCGAACACGATTGTTCGTTGTGGCCCTCGAGCCAAACACGATCGTCGAGTCGGACACGAGCGTCGTGTTGAACACGAGGACCGACGACTTCGTTCAGTGCCCTGGGCTGTTTGTATCGTGTGCGGGGAGGCGTCGATTGTGTGCGTGGATTGTGTGCATAGATTGTGTGCATGGATTGCGTGCGTGGATTGTGTGCATGGATTGTGCGCATGGCAGCCCTGTGCAGTGCAATGTCATGCGACCTGGATTGTTTGCATTGTTGGGGCGAGGACAATTGTTCTATGTTGTTGTTGATCGTTGCGCTTATGTCGTGCAAGGCGCTTCACTGTCGCTATGGAGATCTCTCATTGTATGACCCCAACACTTTGGCGTGCACGAAAGGCACACCCTTTCCCACCTTGCGCGTTACACGTCCGACGATGTCTGGGAAGCACAACCGTTGATGGCGCTAGTCTCACAGATTTCGAGTCCGATCCTTGGATGACAGTCGTCCCGTTTGTCGACAAACGTTTGGACTCCTGGGAAGAGTATGAGTGGGAGAACATGATGAAGACGTGCCCGTGGGCAGGCGATTACGAGTTTGCCAATATGTTGGAATTCGGAAAACGTATTGTTGTGCCGTCCAATGTGTTGGGTCCCGTGCATTTGCATCATTTGTGTAAGAAGTTGAAATTTAGCCACCTTTTCGGTGTTTTAGATTGCGAATACGTGACAACCTCGCTGCGCATATGGTGCCGTGTTATGAAGCAGGAGTTGCTCGACTGTGCACGACATTCGCGGTTCCTCGATCAGTATCCATTGCGATCTCCGGGTCTGTCGCCTCGAGCAGTGTCATATTGTTGTGTGAGATTGCGCCTGAGATTCTTCATCTTCTGTAGGGTCCTCTGCATTGCCTGTTCAGACAGGGCGTGCAACTTGACAGACGCTGTCGTGTATGTGTCCAGGAACGAGTTGTCTATTTCCCGAAGGGATATGAGTTTAGTTCAAAGAGAGGTCGACGGGAAGATGGATATCTCGGTCGGTGGCAAGGTGGAGGACGTCGGCGCTTGGCCCGAGGTCGAGACTAAAGTGGTTTCTATTCGGGATGATATAGGCAATTCTCTCGTCGGGAACTCCGGGTTCGTGCGCATGACATACATTTCTGTGTTTGCTGACGAGCCGCAACGGCTGACCTTCGGATCGGCACTTGGCATATTGGATGGCCGCAACAGCGGGAGAGTTCGCCATCGTCGATAGATAGCCTTCGTTGGTCCCCTTGGTCGTTCAATGTTTTCCGACGTGTGATGCTTTCGCAAGTTGTCGACACTGTCGCCGTCGCTAGGTGTTCTTTTTATTGTCGTTTTCTTAGACGCACGTGCTCTTGAGACAGGGACGTTCAAATCCACACCTTTTGGGCGCAGGAGACAGCTTAGCAGTGAGTGGCGGCTAGGGCTGGGGAAGCTCACACAGAAACTGGATTGCACTTTAGTGACCTCACCAGTTCCAGCTGATGTCAGCGTCCTTACACGGGCCCCTCATGTTCAGCCACTGGTTCCATGTCATCTATGTCGACGTGGCTATAAAGCTCTTTCGCTCTTTCGTGCCTGTTGTCGCACAACTCCTTGAAGCAGACAAGACACTGGCCCAGATCAAAAACTGAAGGACGGACCACAAGGAGAAGCGAAAGAGTAATTCAGGGAAGTCCAGTTGATCTAGCTCAGTGGTTAGAGCACCGGTTGGATATGCGCATTGTGGTATGAGGTTGCAGGTTCAAAACTCCACAGCCGTGCGCGTGGACACCGGCAGGGCGTTAGAATGACGCACGGCTGGACACACCCCCCCCCGGGGCTGACGCAGGTAAGCTATTACAGAGTCTGACACTGCCTGCGCACCACCCAGGGGGGTTAGTCCATGGGTGTTATATGCTGGTCTACGTTGGTTGCTAGCTTTTGTTGGCTTCGGTCTGTCTGATGATTTCCCCCATCCCAGACATTACACACATTATATCGACTTCCCGCGGTAGTACATGTGGTAGAACCCTCCAGTTGAATACTGTAGGTCACAGGTTCGAGTCTGGTTCCAGACTTTGGGGGGATTCCTGTCCAGATAGGCCTGTCTCTACCACATACACACACAGGAGATACTACCCCAGATAGCACAACAGTTACACAATACGTAGTGTATCACATACCATACACACGTACTATACACACACATAGCTCAGGGTACACACACAAACACATGTACTAGTGGAGGTGGTAAGAGCACCTCTCACCAGTACTCAGTACTCACTTCGCAGATGCTCCATGGTGGGGAGCAGCGTCTGCTATGAAGTCGGGTCCACATTGTACACATTATGAACATACACATAGCTCATGGGCACACATCTATGATACTGAGTACATACACACATACACAACCATAGGGCTGGGAGGAGGTCACAATCAACTTATAATGATGATAGCCGTCTCTATGATAAGTATCCCCCTTAATATCAGCTAGGTCTGTGGTGGGTAAGTAGGGGGCGTGAGTTGCTGGTTGGTCAGGATCGACTAATGACGATGATAGGCGTCTCTATGATGAGTACCCCCCTTAATATCAGCTAGACTGTGTGTGGCAGACTAGGGCTGCGGTGGGCGAGTAGAGGGCGTGAGTCACTGGTTGGTGTGGATTAACTGATGATGATGATAGGCGTTTCGAGGATAAGTACCCCGCAACTACTGCTCGGTCCAAGTTCCCTCGATACCAAGCAGGGGTAATGGTCCTGAGTGCTGGTCACACTGAGGTAGGATAGTAGAGATAGGGGATGCGCTAGGGTTACAGTTTGTAATTGCATTTGGAACTGCTTTTGAGCAGTTTAGTCAGGGCTTGAGTTTCAATTGCATTTGAAACTGCTTTTTTGCAGTTTGAAACTCGGGCTGGCTTTTTCTAGCAGTTCAGTCAGGCATATGGCCGTTTCTTTCTTTCTTCGTTTTTTTTTTTGTTTTTTTTTTTTGGGAAAAATTTATCTGTCGCCCCTGTATTTTGCGTTAGTTCGCGTCGCGCCCCTCTGATGGCCGGTTTACCCTGTCGCGCCCCTCTGAGCAGGGTTCAAATTTTCCATAAGACCCTGGTGTCATTTGGGCCTCAAATCTTTTAGTCACGCCCCTACCAGTACCGGTCCCTAATTTGCGGCATGCCCCTACCGGATGGCCGTTAAAAGCCAGCGGGAAAATTTTCGGGATGTCCCTACGGGCACCATCCAACTTCTTAGCACACCCTTACTGCTATTGGAGGCGCTCCAGGGTGATCTCAAAGCCAGCTCTCTCTCTCTCTCTCTCTCTCTCTCTCTCTCTCTCTCTCTCTCTCTCTCTCTCTCTCTCTCTCTCTCTCTCTCTCTGTGTGACTACTTTGCACGCCAGCAATTCGCAACACCTGAACTTATATTTCCACGAACACGGGAAGATTCATTCCCTATTTGCATCTTCGAACTGAGAGAGAGAGAGAGAGAGAGAGAGAGAGAGAGAGAGAGAGAGATGAATGGTGAGCTGCGCAGAGTGCCGCGGCAAACTCGCCGTGGCCCTCTCTCTCTCTCTCTCTCTCTCTCTCTCTCTCTCTCTCTCTCCCCTGTGACTACTTTGCGCGCCAGCAATTTGCAACACCTAAACGTATATTTCCACGAACACGGGAAGATTCATTCCCTATTTGCAACTTCGAACAGAGAGAGAGAGAGAGAGAGAGAGAGAGAGAGAGAGAGAGA